TTTAAGTCCCCCACCCCCACGTTTACGCACATATAAACGTAAATATGCGTCCGGTGCACCAGCGCACGGAAACGATAATTGCGCTACACACGTTACATATCGCCGCGAACATCGCAGTGAGAGCAATCATTTTAGGGCCATCAATCACTGATAACACTAAACTGATGAGCGGTAAAAGCTTTTAAAGCATCGCCTATGGCCAATTTTGGGTATTATCATTTTTAGAGGTTTCACGCACGCAATTTTAAGGCTTGACATGTTTCGTGTCTTTTTACCCAACGTGACCCCGTCTTTTATATTTTACCAAAAAATTGGGTAATAAATGTTTTATCATTTTAATATAGGGGAAACTTTTTTTTTTTTTTTACATTTCGGTAATGTTTCCTTAATATAGTAAAAAATAAAAACTGCAGTGGTGATTAAATACCACCAAAAGAAAACTCTATCTGTCCCTAAAAAATGGTATAAAATCAATTTCACTACAGCGTTGCATGACGGAATAAATGTCAGTCAAGTATCAATCAAGTATTGCAGCGCTGAATACTGAAAAATGGCTTGGATGGGAAGGGGGTTTAACACATTTAACCAGACCTCAACTGGTTAAATATATATTTTTTTTACATTACTGTCGGGGGCTCTGATATTTCCCTTTTTTTAAATAGAAAAAGAGATTGAGAACACAGAGTCCTTAATCTCTTTTTCTGCAGTCCCTGTTATAAATGAACAAGAAGCCTCTATACTGAGTGTTCCTGTTCATTCATACATTGTGGTGATAGTATGTTTACCATGTTCACAATCATGAATGAACAGGAAGTGATGTAGTACACTTCCCATTCATTCATAGTTGGGGACACAGTAAACATACTATGTCCTCAATTATTTACAAACATTCATCAATCACTGAGTGCTTGTACCCACTCTCCATCCTGACTCATTATCACAGGAGGCTGAGCGAACCTCCTCCCCCCGCACCACTGGCCTTGCCTCCTGTGACAGCTGTCTCTGCCCCCACACCACCGCTCTCCTGATCGATCACAGGAAGCTGAGCAGGGCAGTGTGGGAGGAGAGCTCAGCCTCCTGTGACAGCACTGACAGCTGTCTCCGCCCCCACACCACTCTCCTAATCTGTCACAGGAGGCTGAGCGGGGCAGGGGGAGATACTACGCTGGCTGCTCACATCGCTCTCCTCCCCCGCTCCACTCGGCCTCCTGTGACCCTTTCTCTCCTCCCTGCTGGATGCTGCACTGTGTCAGAGGGGACACAAAGCAGCTCCCAGTGGGGAGGAGAGAAACCAGGGATGCACCGCTATTTCAGCGGAAAGATGGCAATTTCAGCATTTTGCCAAAAGTGCCATTTTCGGTCGAAATTTCAGTACATTCCAGAGCAGAAAAACGAGACAAGCAGTATTTTGTTTTGTCTGGACCAGAACAGACTGCGCTGGTGTGTGAACAGAGCCCAGAAATATCATAGGGGTACATTGAGATGATTTTATTTGCTCTGGGAATAAACTGTTCTAATCTGAACATGATCCTGGCATGGTGTGAACAAGCCCTGAACTAGATTGGGCCCTGCATGTCCCAAACAGATATGAGTCCCTGTTTTTCTGAAAATCTTCTTAATAAACAATGTAATATAATGATCCTCATCAGAGGTAACTTTGCGAGTGCGTTAAACCTGATATCCTTCTCTTTTCTGGCCCACAGACAGAATATGCTCGGTTTGAAAATGGACGTTTTCTTTATCGTATCCATCGCTCACCCATGTGTGAATATCTTATCAACTTCATCCACAAATTAAAGCAGCTTCCAGAAAAATATATGATGAACAGTGTGTTAGAAAACTTTACTATACTACAGGTAAAAATGTGTTTTGCTAATGGGCCAATTGTATGCATTTTGGCATGGAGTGTTTCACATGCATGTCAGTAAAGGGTACACACAAGGTATACACAATGCATTTTTTTTGGGGGGGGGGCTTTGCATTACAGTCTGTGTTTACCAGACTGTAATGCAGGGTCTATACATTTACCTTCGGTCTGTTCATGCCATTAAGACACACAAGCCTTTGCAGTTATATTGCCACGCAATTTCCTTAATCGGTTTTAATGATTATCTAACCAGCTAAAAACCTAGCTTTATGTCAGGTGGCGCGACTGGTGGCGAGTAACTCTTAAGGCCTGGCTAGTAGCTCAGGACTTGAAATTTTGAGCCCTGCATACAGTATATGTGAATTTATTTACTTTAAGAGAGGATTTGTATATAGTGGAGCCAGTCCTGTAACTTAGGCACTCCTGCCAGACAGCAAAGCCATATAATGGATTACACCAGCACCACTTGATTCAAGTTACACCTCTAGATTGCTGATTGGAAAGTAAAGGAGCAGCAGCACTCTCCTGTAAGAGTTGTAAGAAAGCCATTCCTCCTCCTGTAATAGTTGTCAAGAAAATAGATCTGCAGTTTCATGTGACAAAAATTGAGAGGTTTATTGATGAAGCAGGATTATCACATGTTGTCTTGATACATTACTTACACAAGTGTTTTGTCTTAACCAGTTGACATCCGCGGTGTTAAACCCCCTTCCCATCCAGGCCATTTTTCAGTATTCAGCACTGCGGTACTTTGACTCACATTTATTCCGTCATGCAGCGCTGTACTGAAATGAATTGTATACCCTTTTTTGGGGACAGATAGAGCTTTCTTTTGGTGGTATTTATTCACCACTGGGGGTTTTATTTTTTTACTATATTAAGGAAAAATTACCGAATTTAAAAAAAAAAAAA